TGTCCTCTCCAGTATCGTTTTCCTTCCTCTTAAATTGCTCCTAGGTACCAAGGTTGCTGAGGTTGGAGTTGAGCTGAAGATGACTTTTGAGAATACAAAAGGTGTTGAAAGTGAGGTTGCGTGTGTGTATATATGTTATGGATTTAATATGTGCATGTTCTTCTAGTTGCAAGTTCACAATGTAAATGTGTTTGCCAATTCAGGTTGAGACCCTGTTCTATGGGGGGAAGTGTGACGGCCAGTGGGCTGGCCTTGTGTTTTGCTTTTTCTGTTACCTGTTTCTTGCAGGTAGGTGGAGCTGACCCAATTATTGATGCAGCACACCTGAGAGGCCAGTCCCAGTGTATATAAAGACACCTTGACTGAACCAGCAGGGGCGCTGGCTTTGGGCTCTGGCTCTCTCTGTCTGGCACCCATCATGGAAGTTTCAGTTATGGCTGTTATGTCCTTTAAATGGTCTTTAAGTTGCTTTACCTAATTTCATTAAATATGTCTTACAGCCTTTAAAAGCCTGTGTGTGGTCTCCCTCTTGATTGTCACTTCCTATGAGCCGGGTTGTGACAAAAGTCATACTGCCTTAGTATTGAACAAAGCCAACGAAAAGAGACGAAATCCACATTGTAAAAGAAGAGAAGCACTAAAGTGCTGACTGTCATCATTTGTCCCACAATGAGCAGTAAGATGCAGCGCTTTAGTGACACACTTCGGCCTGCAGCATCACTGAAAATGACTTCTTTGTATTTGAAGAGCAGGATACTGCTTCCTTTCACTCAGACACTGAAGTTATTGAATATTTGAGGATCCCGAACTTTTTCAGGATAGACTCTTTCCATGATACACAGCAATACCCTCGAGTGTGCCTGTGGAGAGCTTCTTCAATCTGGGGAGTCTTGTGCTAAGAAGTCAAAGGAGGAACATATTGGATTTAAAACTTCTCCCCATGAGGTTTAGTCCACTGGTAAGCTATTATTTGGGAAAGGAGCAGCTTTTCCCCAATTTTCAGTGTTCCATTTTAACATGCTTTTTCCTTTTATTCATTTTTTTCTTGCACATATCTAACAAGCCTGTAAATTTCTTCATCTGTTATTTGACTGATTTTGCTGTGACCTGTCCATAGTTGGATCCAATATACTAATAGGTGTAAAAAAGGAAATCGAATGAACAACACTTAACTCTTAATTCTAAACCTGCACAGTGTATTTAACCTTCTACAGCCCACTGTTGCCCTCTGACCCTAACCCAACACAATCTGAAACCGAAAAAGTGTTAGACCTCCATATTTACCAAGAGATATGAACGCAGACATTATGACTTTTCTATTAAAGTTAATGTCCACACTTATTAATAGACACAGACAAAATAATAGTTACTAAAGCCCGAGCCACCAAAAGGGAAAAAGTTCTCTGTGTCAGTCTACCCAACCAAAGAGACTTTATGAAATCCAGAAATGTGCAGATTTTTAAATGTGGTCAGCTTTACTAGAAACCAGAGAACAGACAGATTACCTGATTCGTCTACCTTTTTTTCTTTAAATGATATATTATAGTCTCTCTTGGGTTGCTTTTGCAGTTTGTTTTGGATGGCAAATGCAAGTTCAACACTTAGAATTGACTCCAGATCTTTTATGGGTCATGAATCAGTTTGTCATCAACTGCTCACTTACTTTTGAGCCTCTGGAAATGGGAGACTGTAAAAATGGCCATAATTCCTAAAGAGTTGATTCGGTTCTTTGTTAAATCTTTGAATTAAAGCTGATAGTCTGTACTTGGACAGCTGCAGAGCAGAATCAGTGAACAGATTGATGTCTAATGAGCCCCTGCTGTGGGATGGGGGGTGTGAGCAGGCACACACAGATTTATACACACATTCACACAACGCATACATCCATGGGAGGGTGAGGATTATCTTTGCAGGCAGAAAGACAAGAAGATCCGGTTTAGCCACTTAGAAGTCTCTACTGAGCGAGCCTCTTTACCCACTAACCTGGATGAAGTCTCTAATTGACACACAAATTGTCATGCTAAAGAAATACTCGCTGCTTTTATATAGAAAGCATAGACAGCTGTCATTTGATTTCTTCAGTAACAGTTTAAAAGATGTTCATGTTCAGCAAAGGAGAACTCTGCCACTAAGGTACCAGAGTATAGTGGCATGAGTGGAAAGCATGAATCAGCCTCGGGGCAGAACTCTTCAGCTCAGGAATGTGAGAGCTCATTAATCGCTGCAAGCAAGACTGAATATCGAATGTAAAAATGCAGCAGAGCTGCGAGTGTGCGTTGCTGATGTCCTCCTTTATGGTGCAGCTTCACTGCAACTCTCAGACGTTGGGCACAGTTGTGATAAAAGACAAAGACAGAGTTAAACAGAGCTTGGTGTTTGTGGCCAGCCAATGAGAAAAAGACTCCTTGCTAAACAGACAAAATGTCAGATTTCTGTCTTGGCTACAGAGCAGTCAGCAGGATTCTTTACAGCTTGGTTAAGTACCTGACGTAATGATAAAACCTCCCACCAGTTCATGAATGAGAGGCTCTAAAAAGCTCTGTTATACAAAGACTGTGTGTCTGTGTGTTTGTGTGTCTGAGAGAAATAGTCTTGTCCTTTGGGTGTGTAAGGATTCCCCTGTTTCGTTCTGACTTCCTGCTTCCTGTCTGTGAAAGGGCTGACCAAATCAGTGCATGTACGAGAGCTGAATGCAGCTTTGTGTCTCTGTCACTTGTCAGTAATAAGTGTGGTTTGAACAGTAAGTGAGTCATGCAGACTGCTACATTGTCAAGTTAAAGCTGCAACAAGTTCTTGCCATGTGCTGAGCGACACTCTGTCCACCTGCACGTCTCCACAGCTGCTGCACAGTGACAGACTGTGCCAGACTAGGGCGCTGCCGTCACAGTGCCACTCCTGTTAAGTCTGACATTCAAAATGCTGCTCATTCTAGTAATTCAGCTACTGCTAATAGTGAAGCGTATGAAGCACTCTAAAATCTCATAATAAAAACCAAAGACAAAACATTCACAGCTAAGAAGTGTTTTTCTTTTCAAACAGATAAGATAATACGCTGAAGTAGAAAAATCTTTTCCCCGCACACACAGAAAGAACATTTTGCACATGCTCCACTTCCTAGTAATCCACTGCTTTGTTTGTTTGCGTCTGGAAAAACGAACATAACCCTCTTATCAGGTCAGGCTGAGCAAACATCTCACTATTACAGAACATACAGCATGGTTTACTTGAAGGAAAGGACGTGGAAGTGTGGCAGTGTGTGTTAAACTTTGTTTAGATTAGACTAAAATGTAAACCATCACCAGTTTGTCTGTTTGTATCTGGAAGTCTCACAGAATCTTAGTTCGGTCATTCCCAACCACCCATTTTGACTTCCAGGCCGTACTCGGCACAGATGTTTCTGTATACTCTACCGGCCTTGGTTATGGCATTCCATGTATGCCCTGCCCTCCTGGCATCTTGCACCCTGCTGTTACGTGCTGGATTGTCTCAATGTCTGCGGTTTTGCCTTCTGGTAGTACAGTCTGATTACCTTTCTCTTTGCTGCCGTCTGAATACATTTCTCCAGTCTGAATGACATTCCAATGTTATGATCCTCATGGTGTGGATCAGTGAGTAGATGTCTTGTTCACTGGCATGCAGCATATAGCAACTTTCCTCTGTGTTGCCTTGATCTTGGCCTCTGAATATAAAAAAACTAAATGCAAGTACCTTTATGTGCTGCGTTGGTTCAGAGTTTCAGTTCAGAGTTGCAGGCGCATTCCCTGTAAAAACTGCAGCAGTGTGTAAAAGGGTGGCAAGATCTTACAGTCTTTGCAGACAGCTTCATCAAGCATGTATGTAATGTGTGGATGATGATGAAAATACAGTTTGTCAGCGAACACATCCTAGCATGTCATTTTCATGAGAAGATAACTGTTTTTCACTTCAGCTGTTTCAGACCTTTCATGTTGCAGATCTGGTATACTTCCTGGTGTATTTCCTCTGGCACTGTGAATGTTACATCTCTGCTTTGCCTCTTCTTCTAGTGTCTGACACCATGAAACTGAATCCACGGGAAGCTCTGCTTTATGTAAGTATCTGTTGTTTTTTATAAGGCATCATAATGAGCTGTAAAGGAGCTAGAATGTCTTATTAAATTTGCCTGGTGTGGCAAATGCACTTTAAACACCAGCTAGCCAGCTGATTAGCAAATATGCTAACACACTTCACTACCAAACATGCTAGGAGTCAGCAGATGGCACAGACCCAGATCTGTCACATGCCATCATTTCTGTTTCGAGTGAGGTTCCTTTTGTGAAGCACAGGGGCCATACCATTTGAAAACATCATCTAGCTTCAGCCATACAGGCGTTTTCCAAACGTATTGGTCTGTTTTTCCATCTATCATCTGTGATAGAGTAGCTGATGTGAGGTAGTGTTTACTTAGCTGACTCTCAGCAATCTGTGAGCATTGCTGCAGTCAATCGCCGATGCCATGTTTGTGACACTGTTCTCTGTCAGGGAGACTGTGTGCTGACGGTGCAGCTTGATGAGGACGAAGAGAAGGAAGCAGACTTTTACCTGATTTTCTCTGGGTCTACACAAAGGCACGTGAGCAGCACACTGCGAGTGAGTCATGTCACACTGCAGGCCGTGTGTCCAGGTATAACACACACACACACACGTGTACACATGCATGCACACACTCACACTCGTGTGGTTGGCTGAGTGGATTTTTGAAATACCAGAACAGAGAGTGCAGAAGTTTTGCAGGTGGATGAAAGTATGTGTGTTCACATGAGTGGAGCTGCTTCAGAGCCCTCCTGCTTTCATCGTCCACTGAAGCAGTCCTGTGTTGGTTCCACTAATCCAGACTTGAGCTCCGTTAGGTTGGGATCTGGAGCCTGGGACCATCTGTACAGATTCACAGCGTGGACTCCTCTACTCAGTTCTTCATACTTCATGCTTTAGTGAATTTGTTTACTCTTTAATTGTCTTATGGATGAACTGAGGTAGATAACTTGTTGGTGAGTGAGTGATAATTTTGATGGTTTTGTTGATGTGCTGCTGAAACTCCAACATGTTTCCTGCTGACAACTCCACCCATAGATCACACATTAGCACACATCACGTATCAGGTTCTCTGCATGTAGATCACCTGCCAGAAACTGACTGTGTGTGTGTGTGTGTGTGTGTGTGTGTGTGTGTAGGCCATAATGTGTGTGAACAGGTCTTGGTGACACTGTGTTTGGCTCGCCCTGATGGATCAGTGGACACACACTCGCAGCAGACCTTCTCCTTTATACAGGTAACAGCATTAAAGAGCTTCTTTGGTTCAGTCCTGTCATGATGTCATGTGACTGGTGGGATGGATGGAAATGATGTGAGACTATTGCAGCAACTGATCACTTCCAATATGAGCACAAGAGTGTTAAAGTTTGGATTGTACGTGCCTGACAACAGAGAGCGACACACGACTTCATATGTTGAAGAAAGCAGTCAGCACTGTGAGGCAGCAGGCCTGTTTACAATACTGACATACACATGAGCCAGTTTTATTTCTAATATGATTATTACTTATTAACGACTGCCATCCACAGCCACAAGTGTACCTGACTGAAACCTCCATCAAGGGACATTATTAACAACTCAGTTCTCAGACTGTGTGCACTGAGACTACTTCAGAGCACCACACAGTGAGCCAGGATATTAGGATGACTGGATCTGATACAGTTCAGAAATGAGAAACAAGGGTTGTTGCTCGTAAGCATCCAAGGGAGAAAGACTTGGGCTAATGCTCTAAAGCAGCCAGGATATAGAATAGAATAGCATAGAATAGAATAGAATAGAATTCAACTTTATTGTCATTGCACATGTCACAAGTACAAGGCAACGAAATGCAGTTTGCATCCATCCAGAAAGTACTTTACCCATGATATAGATATATTACAGAAATGGGTCTGTTATAGGTATGAGGGTACAAAACATGGGTCTATTTATGGGTATGTTACAATGTACATGGTATGAAGGTATGTTATGAATATGCTATAACTATAAGTATGTACAGGCTGTAGTGGGTGTACAAGCTATGAACAGGATATAAATATGAAAACTATACAGAAATATGAAATAAAAAGCTTTACAGAAATATGAATTATGCAAGTTATAAACAGTTGTAAACAGTTGTAGAATTATAATTATCGCATTGTACAGAATGTACAGAGGCTATATAAAGTGCAAGTGGTTGTGAGTGTTGATTCAGTCCATGTTATTATTGTGTGTATGAGGGTACAGTTGGGCATTTGTTTGTTTTTGTCCATTGTGTGTGTGTGTAGGTGGTTGTGGGTGTGTGTTCAGTCCATGAGTTTAATGTGGGTCAGATGTCAGGAGGCTATGCTAGTAAACCTGTACCCTATTGGCTGGTGTAAAAACAAATATACTTTGTTTTTCAAGCAAGATAAAACCTAGTACAAATTCAGTTTCAGGGATCTCATGGTTAAGGATTTCTTAAAATATATATATTATAAAATAATATAGGTACCACAGTTTGAGAGCATGGGGCACCTTTGTGACATGTGTGTGATGAGTGTGTGCTGCAGGTCATGTTTGCAGTTTCCACAATGAAGGGTGATGTTTTTTTGTTCATCGTGTTTAAGAATGATGATTAGGCAGCAGAAAGCTGTGTGACACACTTCAAAGCATCCCTGTGAGGAAACAGGCAGATGTGAGCAGATGTACTTGAGTTGACAGTTGACAGGTTTGACAAAGAGCCTGTAGGAGTGTATCTGAATGATGACTGCAGTGTGTGGTGTGCAGCACACAGAAGCATTCCTACTGAACCGGGAGCAGGTGAGTGAGAAGAGACAGAGGGGTCCTGAAGCTGCTGGTATTTAGAAGGAAACTCAGAAATTGAGAGTTTTGAAGCTCAGAGCAGTGTGCCTCTGTTTGTGTGGTAGAGTCCACAGGAAGCTGAGAGCCTGGCCCTGAAGCATGTCAGCCAGCCTCACCGCAGGACTGCACCACAAGCACCCTGCAGCACACACACAGATGTGCAGAAGGGAACGGTCACAGTGACGGACACGAACAGACCCGACACACGGATGGATGTCGCCTCATTTTGGAGCAGCTGCCCTGGTGAGTGAGCATGATTTCTGTGCAAACTACTGCAGTGAGAGTCAGCCTCACCTGGAAGAGGTTGAGAACAGACAGGTACAGGCGGCCCCTGCAGGGTCAGTCTTCTTCCTGTTAGCTTCAGTTCTCAGACTGTGACGGATTTTTCCAGCTCAGATGGCGTTTGCTATGTCGAACATTCATATTGTGTAGTTTTAAAGGTTTGCTATTTAATTTCTTTGTATTCACCAAGGTGCCGAGCCAGAAGCCACAACACAGTGTCCCAGCTTCGGAACGTTTAGCAGGATATTATGAAGGTTTATCTGGTTCCACCTGCAGACATGCACTACACACGTTTGATTAGCAGCCACGCCGGTTGGAGGAAGCTGAACCTTGTGATCCTCATACATCTTTTAGCACAGGGGTTTTATCTCAGTATGCACCAACATAGCACTTAACCAAAGAAGACCAGGTGTCCCACCCACAAGTTACTTCCTCTCCATGGGGAGCCCATGTGCTTCCAGATTATAAGGGGTATGTAATCCCTGCAGCATAATCTTTGTCTGCCTGTGCTCTCCTCCCAGCTGGACATGTCCAGAATGTCTCCCTGTGGTGGTGTGCAGGTGCCATTGTGGTCGGTGGCTCACACCCAGTGCTGTGCAACTTCACAGACGCCACTGTAAAGTCCTGCACCCTCAGCTCATTGGTAACCTATGAAGAAGATATGGACATAGAGTAGCCGCAGCCATGGGTTTGTGAAGTTACCTTTTTAAAAACTTGAGCTGGTATCATCTTGATTTTGTGGCCAGAAGTCTTCATACTGCGATGGGAGGAGGGAGATTTTAATGAGCTGCATGAATGCATCACAGATAACTGCTAACATCCACCAAAACTGAAGCACAGCCTTTTCATATGGTCTGTTAGCACAATTAACTGCACTTGAAACTATATTATTTAATAGATAATTGCATTAAAATAATCCAAATACCAGCAGCACACACACTCTCCAGAGGGACTCAGGGACTGCAGTGAAGGCCTAGTTGGAGGCCACTTGGATAATAAAGCTAAACTTTTAGACTTGTTTCTATAAAAGGTCACAAGAGCAGGCTGAGGAGAATGCAAACAGAGGTTTGAGTTGTGTTCAGTCAGTCTGCGTGTCACTCTGCCAGAAGGAAAAGTCTCTGTTTACAACAGTAAACACAAGCAGAGCTAGCAGGTTTTTCTGTGTTACAGCACCAGCAGTGGTCCTCAAACGTCACACACAGCTCACTAAGGACTCTTCAGAATCACCCAACTCACTTCATGACAGTCGTGCAGAGTGTGCACAATGAATTCCACCTGCGTGCTCCAAGCTTGTTACACTTGATGAATGTGCGTGAATTATCTTGGATGCATGGATCAGGTTTTCCTACCGAAATACTTCAACTTTGCCATTAACAGTGAGATTTCTCTAACGTCAGATGGTTCGTTGGATGATTTTGTAGCTTTAATAATGAAAGTTTGAATGAATGGAGACAAAAGCACCCTTGTTCTCCTTGTTTACACTGAACGTCACTGTTGAGCGGAGCGCCGTGTCCTGCTGCGTGACTTCCAGTCAGCACCAAATTGCTGTTATAATCTTCACTACGGTCTAAGTCAGCATTGGTTTAGTGTTTGTACTTTTCTGCCCACTGAAGCTTTAAACATTTCATGAAGCCTTTTAGGTCCACTAAATATGAGGCAAGTCTGTTTTTGCTGCTGTTTGGCAGCCCCCCTGATGCTCTAAGCACTGCTACATGACCCACATGCATTTCCTTTTCACTATTTCTGCTTGTTGTTTTCAGACATTTCATCACACACACGTCTCTTAAAGATACAGAGTTAGTTGTAAATGGGCCGGCTCTTATATGGTGCATTTCTATCAGAGCACTCAAAGCGTTTTATACAAAATGCCTCATTCACCCAAGCACATTTTTCTATATGAGTGCTTTCTAACATTCACACATGTTCATGGAACAACTTTAGGTTGTTAGTATGCTGCCCAACTTTGGCACGCAGGCTGATATTTGGGACGCAGATTGGAGCAGCCAGGAATCAAACCACCGACCTTCCAATTAGCAGATGAGGTGCTCTAACTTCTGAGCTACAGCCACCCTTACTCTGTTCTTCTCTGTCCACCAGGAGCTGTTCTGTTTTCAGTTGAATCCAACCATCACATTTTCTCTCGTTTCTTCTTCTCCAGCTGTGTGTGAGCACCAGCAGCCCTCCAGCCTGCTGCAGCTCGCAGCCAGTCATGGTCTGAAGACGGCACCAGCATTCCTCCTGCAGCAGCCCGCAGGGAAAGAGGCATTGCGAAGGACGAACACTCAGGGTTCAGCTCCAGCATGTCTTGCAAAGAGCAGAGGGAAGCAGCCACTTCTGGAGCTCTTCACGCAGTGAGTACTGCTCATTAACGGGTACTAACTGAGGTTAAAGCTCCGGGGAGTTCATCAAGAATTTCAATACAGAGCATGTTGAGGTAACTGCTGCTGTGAATAAAACTGAATAGAAATAGAACTGTCTTCAGTAAATCTGGTTTGCATTCAGTGCCAGAGAAATATGGAGATTATTCTTATTTTTATTAGTATTTTTAAAGGCATGAAAACTTTGGTGGCCACCATTGGGAGCTGGAAGGCACCAGGACAGTGTGTGTTTTGTCCTGTGTTGTGATCGGTTAGTGTGTTCATCGCTGCTGCCCTCAGTCTTCAGTGTGGCCACTAATCCTATTGTCCTGTTGAGCTCCACTAACAAGCTCCTAATATATTAAAAGGGATCCGGTGAATATGTGCAGCACCACAGATGTTAGCTACAGATGATGTTAGTGTTTTTAGCTCATGCTTTGGATGAAGTGTTGGGTCCCTTTTCAAAGCCTTAGCAGCTTTGCTGAATGGGTGGTGCAAAGACTGTAGCAGCTGAGGACACAGTTGGGTGCTGTGTGTTTGCTGCTGTGTGCCCAGGCCTCTCACAGCTCTGTCACCGATGAGGACGAGACAGTGCAGCTGGATGTCTGCAGGTGAACTGAAGCGTTGCATTAAATGACTGTTCGGAGGAAACAAACCCCACCTAAAACTGTGCCGTTGCTCCACCTTACTGTTTTTCATTTTCAAAACATCTGTTTTCCAGGCCACAGTTACCACAGTGTATGCACGAGTGCCATTGTGGCTGTGAGGCAGTAAGCCGTGGTGACAAGGATGTGTTCATAGCTGTGTTCACACACACAGAGTACCCAGAACTTTTATCCTCCAGCACATTCATCAGAGAGCAGGGCGTCATTTTTGCACAGAACAGCAGAACTAAATACATATATACTAGCCCAGTAGGTGGCAGTATTGCAGATGACTGTACAACAACAATAGCAGCATATAAAACAGACAGACACCTGCAGCAGGCGTCAGAGAGCAGGGGATTGTGATTTCCTGTTGATGGGGTCAGAAAGTCAGTGCTAGGAAAGAGATGAGCAGTAGATGCAAGACCCCGCTCTCCCAAACACAAACACACACATACATGATATCAACATGTTTGGGCCCCTGTTAGAGAGTTAGAGATCAGATCCTGTCCCAGCAGCAACGTTCCAAGTTCCTGGAAAATGTTTGTGTGTTTGAATCAGAGGGAGGGAACTGGCAGAGTTCACAGAAACATTAGGCATTTATTTTGTCCCTGAGAAGAGCACAACACATCGAAGTGTGTGCGTGTGTCTGTGTGTGTGTGTGTATCAGTAGCTTTGAGCTCTGTGATGTGATCTGGCTGCATGGTTAGGGCTCCTCCTCTTTAGGGAGGGCATGGATGAGTTGTGTGTCTCAGAGACAGGAGGTGAAGTGTGTCTTTATTTGAGCTCTTGCACAGTTTCCTGATTCAGCTCCTCCCTCATTGTGACTTTACTTTCTGTTCTAATCATTCCTGTGAGCAGGTAGGAGCCCTGGGGTTGTATTCCTCTGTGTTTCCTGTTATCCTGGTATCTGGATCTGTGCACGTGCGCTACAGAGAGGAAACCAACAAAACTCTTTTTTTTGTTGTTGTTGTCATTGCAGCTATGCAACGCTCCCAGATGTTCAAGCGGAAGCTGAGGAGACACTGCAGGTTTACCCCAAAGGTCAAGTGTTTCAGTACCATGCCAGTGTAGGTACCTACACCCTAACCTTCCTCCTGCAGAGGGAGGGGGACACAGGGACAGACAGCAGGGGGCGCTGCTGTTTACCGGAGGAAGTGATGGAGCTGAGGAGGCTGATGGAGGGTCACAAATCCACCGTGGTGAGTAGATAACATCAACAGTCACAGTGTGCAGAAAGACTGCTGCTGTTTTTTCACCATTACTGTGCAGCACGTCTGCTCCTCCTCTTCATCCTCCGCTGTCGCAGCTCTTTCCTGTTCCTGGCTGCTGATGGAATTTGGCTTGTTTCTTTGCTACTTTGTAGCTGCATGAGGCTTTCATTCATTATTGTATTTAGATTCTAATTGTCATAGCTGTGTGTGTGTGTGTGTGTGTGTGTGTGTGTGTGTGAGTAGCGATGCTATTAAGCAGTGTCTGTAATATGACAATGGGATAATGAGGTCAAAGGGAAACTCCCAGGGCTCAACGTGCTCACACATGCATCATTTCCAGGATACAAAGTGAGCTTGCATAAATATGGGCTTTGCTGCTAATACAGAGCCAGCCGTCCTAGACAGGTGACCAGCAGAGGAGCATTAAGCTGTTTATACTGCACAGGTGTGGCATATGTGGCATGCGTCATGATTTCCATGAAGTGATAACATCCACCCAGTGGTAAACCTTACAGGAAAGCTTGAAGTAACAGAGTACTTTGTCTCAGCCAGCAGGTGTCACAGTCAGACCAGAAGAGTGAGAAGCTGGACTGTGACCTGCTGTTTCCTGCAGGTCTGTGAGCCAGAGGAGTGAAGGCCAAATGAAATGAAAATTCCCATAAGTGTCTCCTTTCTTCTTCAGGTTTTAAACCTACTTTATGCAGCTCACCTGAGAGTTCATGGCTGGCCTGAACATGCGAGTGGATAGCCAAGATAGCTTGTTTGCAGTGTAGGGATCAGTTCCACATACAGTGGGTTGCTGTGGTAGGCATGCGAAGCCTTCGTTTCCTTAATGAGTGGGTGAGCTGTATGACTATCAGCAGTTGTAGGCACTGATGGCTGTGACAGATCATCTCTTTTGTACGTCACTCTTTTGTTAGTTTTGAGATTAGCTTCGATCACCCTTTCGGGTAACATCCATCCATCTGCTAATGTTGTCTTTCACGCATACTGAACAAACGATGTGCTAAACTGCTTCGTGGGTCATTTCTGCATGTTTCCATATATGATTCATTTGTATTTCTTTTCCTTTTTTCAGAGTTCAGGCTTCCACTTGTTGGAGGAGAGAACACAAGGGGACGACTCGGCTGCTGTCAGTCAAACATCCTGTACCAGTGGAGGTCTTTGTCAAAGAGAGGAAAAAGGGTGGGAACACCAGGGCACAGCAGCTGCCCGCACTGGGAGGAAGAAGAAAAACAAAAAGAGAACCGCCAAAGTCACAAGACCTGCAGCAGAGTCTTCAGGAAACCAGAGCCGAGAAAGTGCACGGAGGCCCCGCACAGCTACAGGAAGTGGAACTCTCTCACCAAGACAACGAGCAGTGGCGACTGTGACTAATGTCGGAGGAACACAAGAAACTCCATCACCCATAAGGCCAGTATTGGGACCAGGTGTTGAAAGGAAGTGTGCTGGCAGGAAGGTGGTTGCCTTGCCTACGGCCAGTGTCGTAGATAAACAGGAAGGCCAGAAACAGGAAGTGGAGCTGCCGATGCGTAAGCTGGTGTCAAAGACAGGAAGAGACACACAAAGTGTCAGCGCAGAAATCACAGTGGAATCAGCTGCAGATGGGACAGGTACGTCCTGTAACTGAATACACAACTTTATTGTGCTGTGCGTCGTCTGAGGTGTAGGCAATAACTAAACGCTCTTTAACAACAAGTGCAGGCTGTGCAGAGAGAAGAAGAAAAGGAAGGATGAGCTTGTGAGTTTCTGGCTGTTCAGTTACTTAAAGACTCAAAGAGTAACAAACGAGACATCTGTGCACCTGTGCAAACTGCTGTTTGATGAAAACGTGCAAACACAGTATCTGAGCTTTTTCACGTTTATGAGTTTTTTTCTGAGGTGTGTGTGTTTGGTCCTGTTTCCTCTGCAAACAGCTTGCTCAGATAGAGACATGAAGAGCAGTAAGAAACTGCAGCTCATTAAAAACTCCACAGAGCTGAAGGAGCCCGGTGGTTGTTTGTTAGCTTACTTTAAAGATGAGTTCTTTAAGGCGTTGTTGATGTGTAGGGATTGTGTCATCGTCACTAAAGACAAAACCTGCTGCAGTCTGAGATACATGAAGGAAGGAAAACGAGCTTCACCAGGTCAGTCAGAAATCCATCCCAGCTCATCATCAGTCTGCTCGCCTCTGTCTGAAGTTGTGGTTTATCACAGCGTTGCAGGTAGTCTGTGTCAGGCCTGTTCTCACTGCTGCAGATGCAGTGTGTCTGTTTTAGGCGGGGTTCAACAAACTATTAACCGCTCCATCTGACATCACAGACCTGAGCTGGCAGGTCAGGGACTGTTTCATGTGTTCGGCATGCAGCTGTGGTGTGTAATGTCTGGGCTGGGTGTGTGATCCAGATCAGAGTAATCCATTTGATGAGTAAGAGTTAAGAGTTAAGCTGTGATAGACCTGTTTGTTCTGCAGTCCCTAATCTGCTCGTCTCCTTTCAGTGGCCATGGGTCAGGAGCAGTCCCAGGACAGTCAGACAGAGCAAGAGGAGCCAAGCCCAGTCGGCACTATGGAGAAAAGTCCTTCATCTGACACGGGAGCCAGCCCCGAGTCCACACATGCTGAAAGGAAAGGCAGGAGAGTGCTATGGCGGGATGGAGGCTGGACCGGAAGCATAATGGGACCAGAAGCAGCAGGAAAAACCATCTGGTATAAGGAAGAAAACTTCGGACAAGTTTCCAGTGAAGATTCCAGGAGAACAGAAGTGAACTCGCAGTCAGTCTGGTACGACAGTGGCACCACGGGTGAGAGAATCCCCGGACAGCAGGAGCAAGGAGTGACACAGAAGAGAAACTGCGATACGAGCTCACCTCAAGCTTTAGGTCTTAGTTCTCCACAGCTGTTAGAGCAGGCTCTGTCTGCAGCTCCTAGTCAGTCACATGCTGCTGGAAACCTGCCAGCGCTGTCACATGGGCCACACGCACAAAGACGGGAAGTGCAGCGAGAGGAGGAAGTTAGGTCAGACTGGGAGAAGGCAGGAGTGGAAGGAGACAGAGAAGAGGCCAGTAACAGAGAGACGAGTTTCAGCAGAAGGATTTGTGAAACAGCAGGCGCTGAAGAGGGAGGAGAAAAACTAGCAACGAGCAAAAAACGCAGGAGAAAGAAGAGGGGGAAGAGAGGAGGTGGAGAAGCCAAACTTAGCTCCTGCTCTAGTACAGAATCTCAGGGTCACACAGAGATTCAGTCAGAAAGCCAAGAAGCAACAGACCCCGGCATCCAGTCACAGACGCAGACTGGGAGGACAGACGATTGCTGCCTCCCTGATTCTGAGCCGGCCCGGAAGCAGGAAGCTGATGACGATGCCATGCACCTACCCGGCCACACGGAGATCCAGGCCCGCAGCGCTCATGGAGCTGGCGGTGATGTTACAAGCTCAGTCTCTGGTTTCATGGCTGAAGAGCTCAGTCACACTGAGCATCTGACAGCACACTCCACTCCAGTTACAGCTTCACACACAGAAAGAAGAAAGGACTCATCGGAGGATGAGACCGTGAGCTCAGAATTCGGTGAAGCAGATGTCAGTACGGTGGACATAAAGATAAATACAAGTGTGCAGCTGGAGGCAACACAAGGACGTGACCCTGGAGAGCTGGAATCACAGATGCCTGCCATTCCTGCCCAGCCAGCACCGGATAATGCTGATCTTAAGGCTCTGCCACCAAACGATGATCTGACCGTTACTTGTACAGCCACAGAGTCTGGGATCCAGATCGAGTTAGAAAACTCCAAGTATCCAAAGGAATTTGTTAAACAGTCGGAGGATACAGAGCTCAGGGAGGAAAAGCCAGGACACTCTGTGGATCCCACAGGAACACCAGCAGGACTTGTTGAATCTGTGCGTCCCACAGAAGCTGCTTTTGTACCAGCTGACGATAGAGCGGATGTTGCTCCCCTTCACATTCAGGAAGGAAGCACTGAGAGCACTGCAAGGGAATATTTAAAGCATTGTTTGGCCCCTGAGATGCTGAGAGGTCAGCAGCACACGGAAAAAATGAGACATGACATGTGGGTGGGCGTAGAGGGAGGAGTTGAGGAAAGAAGCCAGAGTGGCGACGAGGACAGTGCCACAGAGGCGTGCTCCATGGAGCGAGGGCGAGCGGTGAAGCAGAACTATGATGAAGATGTGGTTGCTGCTGCAGTAGCTGTTGTAGCAGTAGCAATAGCATCAGCAGTGGTTAGCATAGAAGTTAGCCAACATTTATTAGACAATATGTCAGAGAGTCAAGTGTGTGCTGGCAAAGAAGCAGGAACCAGTCCATCATTAGCTAAGGGGAGCGGTGCAGTCGGCCTCAGCACGACTCAGTGCTCACAGCTGGCTCCACAGCTGATCGCCAGAGCTGACACAGAAAACCAGCCTGCAGCACACTCTCACCTCACTAACCACATCACGTCTATAGGACAAGTGTGTGTTCACACAGCAGAGGAATCTTGTATAACTAACACAGACGATCAGGCTAACAGTGACCTTCCTTCATCTGCTGAAGCTCTTCAGTTACCAAAACAGCCCAAAGAGGAAATTCAAAAAGAAAGTCTGCACAGCAAAGTCTTTACATACTCACCACCTAAAGAAGAAGATAACAGACCTTTGCCAGAGGTGATGACAGCTAAGGCAGACGGAGAGAGCCAGTCCCACTGTCAGAATCCACTGCTCACAGAGCACAGAGAGCCCAAAGATCAGGCTGCCTGTCCTGAAGAGGGAGATGGACAGCAGCACTTTCAAACAAGAGAGATCCCCGATCAAGACGGCGGTCACTCTGTGGAGTGCAAAGATGCTGAGTGGCAGGATAGATCAGAAGATAGTGAGTGCTGTGCAGACCTGTCAGCCTCACACTCTCACACTCCAGGAAAGGAGAGCCAGCCACAGCTGGTTATAATGCCACATCAGAGTGGTTCAGCACTTCCTGTTACCCCCAGTAACCCAGCTTCCCTAGCTAGTCCCACTCCACAGGAAACTACCGCTCCTGTGGAATCAGCTGAACTTCTGTCATCAGCAAATGGCAATAGTCTTACTGCAAGCCATCCTGAAGCTGACGGTGGCACAAACCAAAGAGAAGCTCATGACTGTGTCCGTGTGAACCCTGAGGATGGTGTATTTGAAGGGCTGGATACAGTGGAGAAAGGAGGAGAAGTGGAGAAGCTCACAGTGGAGGACACATCCCACACAGGTAACTCCATCTACACCCCCCCCCCCCACACACACACACACACACACACACTCACATCTTTGTTCATGTCTCTTATTGTCACTTTGATCTCTTTTATTTCCTGTCCTCGTCACCTTCCTGTGCACCATCATTCATCCTCCTCTCCCCCACAAACCTCTTCCTTTCCTTCAACAGAATCATCATAGCAAATATATCTCATTCCACATTCATTAGACTGACATAAATGTTCTTTAAAATTCTTTTTAACCTTTGAAGAGTGTGTCTATGGTCTAGTTACTCTTTGAAAAGATAAGTTAGTGTTGGAAAGAGCTGTCACATGAGCAGTCATAGTGTTGAATACTTGATTGAGACGGTGAAAGTCTTCCATAGTTCTCTCCTGGTCTGATGAAGGAGTGACTGGAACGTGTCAGTTACGACATTCCTCCATTCTTGATGAGACTGAGTGGAAGCAGGCCAAAAAAGGTGTGTGTGTTGTGATGGTGGCGGTGTTGGTAAGCATTAGCTTTTCTTGGTTTCGGAGGCACTGTTTATATTTTGCATTGTATCCAGGAAACGTGATGATGTAATCAACATCATAACATCATAACAGTTAAATGTAAAACTAGAGGTAGGTGGAAATATGGTTGTGGTATGAGTTCTGTTCCCGTGTGTGTGTGTGTGTGTGTGTGTGTGTCCGTCCAATTCAGATTTTGAATTCTGACGAGTATTATACTATTGAACACTAAGTTAATACAAGCACTTACACTTTAAAAACATACCAGACCAGTGCTGAGGCCCAGCTAGCATTAGCACCAGAGCTAGCTGAAAGAGGCCCAGGCTAATAATTCTGCCCTGCTAAGACAGAGAAAACCTAGCCTTTACATGTGCCTACCACTGCAGTTTTGTTCCTTACATACAAAACACACACCATGATCACTTTTCAGTGAAGTGTTTGCTCTTCCTGGAACAATGACATCACTTCCTTGTTTTCAGAGGCTTTGGAGTTAATGTGTGTGCAATGACTGGCCTGTTTGATCCTACCACCTCATGTTGTTGTTCTCATCACTGATTCACCACCCTCTAAATATAGCTGTGCTCTGTGTATTGTGGATGATATTGTAGCTGGCTGATGCGTTTTTCAAAGCCAGTGAGTGTCCACACTAACCTGATGGTGTTTTCTGTCGTGTGCAGGAGCAGCAGAGCAGGAGCAGAGAGGCTGGGACAGCGCACACACTCTGCAGGTGAGCTGCTGTTCAGTGGAGTGACTGTTTCATGATGTCACAGGCAAGTCTGTCCTATTGTCTCACCTGCATACACTGAACCTGTCAACGTTTTGCGAAGCAGCTGGCTAGATGTGATGTGATCATTGCAGGCTCTTGCAGGAGTGAAGTACTGAGACTTTCTGGAGAGTAAGCTAAGGCTCCACCCCCTTAAAACCCTGTTATTTGACAGAGCGGACAAGGGAGCACGGAGACCGAGCAGCTAAGACAAATACACCAGCTCAGTGCCACAATCAGGTCCCACAAGCCCACCTCCTGTCTCCTTCCTGCAGTGCATATGAACATTAGTTTTGCTCTCTGTGGTTTTGGGGTTAGATCAGAGCGGGCCAGGCCACGGTCACCTTTGACACCATATAAATCCTTCTCTAATGACTCCTGATGACGCACTGTTTGGTATCATAGAGCTGCAGGTCACAGTGGGAGGCATGGGAACCTTGAGACCTTGCCCTGGGGTGTAATGTCAGAGTCAGGGAGGGACGGAAGAGGGAGGTACAGTACACAGAGCGGTATAGGAGACCCTGCTTTATTCGCTTTCATGTAAAACTTTGCTACCTTGTTGAGAAGATGAGCAGGTCGAGTTTGGAGTCTTAGAGAAACTGCTGGATTTCCATGTGTTTGATTCAGATGTTTGCCACTTTTATTTATTTTCCATAAAAGTGATCATAGGACTTTGAAATCACTTATTGAATCATGTTTGTGCAACTTTCTAAAGGATCCTGGGTTCCACTGTGTCCACATTTGAGTTAGTTTTTGTTTGGGATCAGGTAGCAGGTTTGCTAACCTCTGTTAACAGATCTGTTAATGCAGTTAGGCCAGAGCTGATACAGTCTCACATCTTACACGTACGGCTCGGTGACAAATTAAAGGAAAATCCTGACCCTCTCAACCCTGTAGTGAAGGGTTGAAGGGTTTATCACCTTTATTCCACGAGGAAGCTTTTCTGTGGTGATGGGAGTGGTCTCTGCATCCAGAGCACATGAACTTCATCACTGTCTCAGGTTGATCTTGAAGCTATTCCTGCAACAAGTCTTCCTGTCTTTCTCGTATCGTCCCCAGCTGTCGCAGCTTATGGCCGCCCCCTCCCTGAGTCTGGTTTTCCTGGAGGTTTCTTCTGTTAAAAGGGAGTTTTTCCTTCCCACTATCACCAAAGCACTTGCTCATAGTGGGTTGTCTGATTGTTTGGGTTTCTCTGTATTATTGTAGGGTCTATACCTAACAGTATAAAGCACCTGGAGGTGGCTGCTGTTGTGATTTGGCGTTATATAAATAAAACTGAATTCAATTGAAAATTGAACCCTGTGTTCTCTTTGTGTGCTCTCTGATGCAGTGTGTGTCTGTAGGAACTCACTCATTTTCGGGTATTCTTTGTTGCCCCCGTGTGGTTTCAGTAGGTATAAAAAGTTCCAGATGTGACCGTCTCTCACTCTGTCAGAGCTGGGTGGTGTTCGGCTGTTACCGTGGTTACCGCTGTGTTTGTGTGCTGCTGATTGGTCACAGGTGGTGCTGATTTCTTGCACTTACTGACTATAAGTTAGCTCTGTGTTGTTGAGAGAGTTCTTTAATTTATTAAAAATGACTTTCATCATCTTATCAGCAACACATGCACACACACACGCACGCACACACACATGCACACACACACGCATGCACACACACATGCACACACACATATGCACACACACAAACATGTGTTGTTTTTCAACCAACTTATTCATTATACTGCACATTTTTTTTGCCCAAGGTGTACCCAAAGCATTGTGGGAACTGTAGTGTGAAAAAGCAAATACTGAAAATATGAGGCATGCCAGAAATGAATTTGATTTCTTTATTTTTGTAACTTCAGCACGAGAACTGTGTGCTGGTGCAGTGTTGACCGAGCGCTCTGATGTCAAGCCTGTTTGTGTGCTCTGTGTGTACATATGTGGGTGTGTGTCACAGGTCTGCATGTGGGTTAACTGTGATTGAAAATGTCCAGTACGTGTGAACGGTTGTGTGTCTCTTTGTGTTAGCCTTGCAACATATTGGCGGCCTGTCCCTGGTGTACTCCTCCTCTCATCCGTTTACAGTGGCATTGACTGCAGGTGTCTGTTTTCCATGTTTACGTCACCCTGATGTGGCAGTGATTGTGCATGTGGGTGCAGCAGCACATATGACATTATCACACCATCACAGTCACTCAGCACAGGGCATAGTTACTATTTATCCACTTCTGCTGCTCTTATTTGGCTCCTTTGATGGAGGGAGTGGACAGAGAGAGAGGGAAGAAGGCAGTGAAGGAAAAAGGAAGCGGGTGGATAGGAGGGATGGAGAGGGGGCTGGTGTTATAAACAGATGTGTGCAGGAAGTCTCCTCGTCAGAGCTCGCAGGCTGTAGAGGATTACTCTGAGTAGGAGCACACTGATCTGCGTTAGCTGTTCTTTCACTGTTTGTTTAAGTGGATTTGGTTTGGATTCCCTGTTCTCATGTCGCTAATTGGATATACTAACTGTTTTCTTGTTTTGTGAAGTTTTCTCGTTTCACCTCAAGTAAATCAGCTGCCTGTAACTGCACTAAGTTCCAGTTGGACCCTTTTCCTTCGTACTCCTCCCTCGGCTGTTTCCATCATTGCTGCTGTGACAGATTTGCAGTCGGGACAGACAGTGGAGAGCGGGGCGATAGCTGAGCTTTTGCCTGCAGTATGTTTCGCTGTCAGCATGTGTGTGAGACCTGGATTGTTAGCAGCTGAGGGTGAAACTGGCAGCATGTATGAGAGGCACAGGCGAAGGTACAGCTTCTGTGCCAAAGGAGAGCCCACTGTGGATGTGCTGTTGATTAAGGTAGGAAAAAAAGCTGGTGATTTGATGGCTGAGAGTCCTGCAGTCACTCATGTCTTAGCTGGCCTTCATATATGTACTTTAGATACAGTGCTGTGCAAAAGTCTTGAGCCACGCCTCATTTCTTTATATTTTGTTAGGAAATCTGTGCGGTGATTTATAAACATGAGCGAACGTCCATGTAAATATATGCATGTTCAGGGGTCCGGGGGAGGCCAGTCCATGACTGATGGTGTTCCACTGTGTGTACAAACAGAGTTTGTACACTTCTAATGAGCTTCAGACTCAGTATTTGGTACCTTTGATCTTCAGCACAGTCTGAAGTCTCTGAGGCAGATTTCTGTCATTTCTGTAACATTTTCAGGACGTTCTTCAAGCTTCATGAAGACATTCAAAGCTCTTCTTTGTTTTGTTCTGTTAAGACCTCACTGCTTCAATCATGTTGATGCCCGGGATCCGGGGGAGGCCAGTCCATAACTGATGGTGTTCCACTTTGTGTTTTTCTTTCCAGGAATGCTTTTACTATATTTGCAGGGTGTTTGGGGTCATTGTTGTATTTACATTGTCATAAAATGAAGCTGCTGCCAGTCAGATTCTTTACAAATGTTTTCACACGGTGGATCAAAATCTGTTGGTACTTTTCTGCATTCATAATTCTATCGATTTTGACAAGATGTCAAACACCACTGGCTGAAATGCAGCCCAAACCATGACAGAGCCTCCACCATGTTTTACTGCAGACACTCAGTGTTGGACCCTCTGTCCTGCTCTCCTCTGTAGATACACTCAGGGAAATAATTCTGTAATTTCCTGCTGAATTTGTAAGTTTGCTCACTTACAAAAAAATGAACACTCCCCCTTTTTTTTACTTCCCTTTTATGGCAGTCATTTTAATGGAGAGAACAGAATATGAACAAAAAATCCAGAAAAAACATTACATAAAAGTTATAATCTGATTTCCATGTCACTGAATGAAATATTGAAGTATTTGATCCCCTACAACAAGCAAGAATAGTGGCTCCCACAGATGTGGCACACACATGACAATCAGTGAGTTACAGATACTTCTTGATCTAAACTCTCAGTGTGTATGAAGGACACCTGTCCACAGAATCACTTTCTTCCAATCTAACTCACACTAAAAAAATCAAATTTGGGTTGATCGCTCCATCAGACCTGTTGCCACTGATTTTCAGTTCCGTTCTTGTGTAATGTAGGGTACCTCAGCCTTTTCTTCCTGTTTCCCTTCATTAAAAATGGCTTCTTGATAGCTGCCCCTAGGGCTGGGCCATATCATACCGTTCACGGTAATACCGGTATAATGTTGGGCAACGATAAGAAAATGAAATATCGCGATAGAATATGGGTAAAACGCGCATGCGCAGTGCCTTTGTTTTTTATACGCACATGGCGGAAAAAGCATGGCGGCGGCAGAGATTGAGAAGGGCGAAAGCGGATCGTTAAATGAACCAGAACTGGTTTGTAAAAATGCTGCAACTTCAGTGGTGTGGCACTGGTTTAGCTTTCGTCCGTCAGATACACAATAAAGCACTATTTTTGGTAGAGCATGCTAGCGGGCCGTCGTTATTACCGCGTTTTTTGGAAAATAAGACACTTAAATTCAATCCTTTCATTTTTCTGAAAATCGACAGTGCCCCTTATAATCCCGTGTGCCTTATGTATGAATTCTGGTTGTGTTTAGTGACCTCGAAACGATTTTATGTACACGGCGCTCGAAAATCTGTCAAATGTTTCAGTACGACTTTGCTAAGCTACGAAGCCGCACCGCTTGATAGATTGTTGGAGCATTACGGCTATCGTAGGCAGGAGCCTCGCGGAGTGATACGTACTGTGCTTCAACATAATATTACCGTATTGTGTGTGTATAACCTCTTTTTAAGTTTTGTGGATATTATACATGGTTATGCTGAGGATGTGTCGGGCAGTTTCCACTGGAAATGCCTTTTGGTTAAACTGTCAGCAAGGAATTTGCACTGTTAAATTTTTATATAATTTTAATGCACATAATAAACAGCTGCTTGTTTAAGTGAAAATACATTGATTTTATTTATTTTTTTGCACAAATAAAGTTGTGGAGTTGTAAATTATTTTGTCTAGTGTCAATTATATCGTCAGTTATATCGTTATCGCAAATTTTCAAATGTATATCGTGATAAATATTTTTGGTCATATCGCCCTGCTCTAGCCGCCCCTCCACTGAGAACATTTCTGATCATCAGAAATGTTCTGTGCAAATGACTTAAAGTCATGACATGACTTTCAGATACTGTTCATCTGCTGTAGAAAGTCTTAGACCTGCCAGTTATTTTGAGGGAGAGGGATGTTGTTGATACAGGATTCTAGCTGCTCAGCTGTCCTGGCTTCTTCTTCTTTGTCTCTTCTTTCTTTTCATGATGCTCCAGATGTTCTCAGTTGGTGAGGGTCACAAAAATAACGCCATAGCAGGCCAGGTCGGCCATGCTTTAACAGATGCCATACATGGGTTAGCATTGTTATGCAAATGCAAATATGGAGGGTCGTCTAAAAAAGGTGTCATTTGGATGGACTATCTGTTGGTTTAGAACATGTCTATACCTTTCAGCATTGATGGAGCCTTTCCAGATGTGCCAGCTGCTAATTCCTTTGGTCTTTAGTCAGGAGGATGTGGTGCCCATGTTTTCCAAAAACAATCTGGAAGGGTCTGACCTCAGAACAGTTTCCTACTTTGCTTCAGTCCATTTTAGATGAGCTGTGGTCCAGAGAAGAAGGCAGGGTGTGTGCATCATGTTCACTGGCATCTTCTTTGCAATCACACACATATACAAAGATTTGTGTACATATCACTATGATCAGTGTTTTGGTGATAGTGTGGAATTGTCACACCCACAGCCTTTATGCTGTCACAGAGAGTAACACAAAGCATGGTTTGCATTACAGTTTCTCTGTTTTTACTCCTATTCACACAATCTTCAGAGCAATAGAACTCCAACTTCCATCATACTTTGGTGATGCAGAAATGAAATCCTGCTGCCGGGGGCTGGTTTGGCTTGCTTCTTACGTATCAGCTCTTCCCAGCAGAGATGAGAGAGCAGAGCAGGCTTTGTGACAGCCCCCAGCATTAGATGACAGCACTGCTGTTAACACACAGCATCTCAGCTATGTCAGCTGTCCTGAGAGATGATCTGTGCAACTATGAGAGAAAGAGCTCCGTGCTCCTGATACAGATCTGTGTTGTGGTAAAGTGTCACAAACTGTGATGCTGATCATGCTGATTAAGAAACAGCCTATTACTGACAGAATATAACAGACTGTAACAGCTAATAGTCTATCAATATCAGTAGTGTATCAATGCTGCGATTGTCCTTTATTAACTTTTAACTAACTAACAGCATCTGCTGCAGCTGGTCTGGGAGCGAGGGGAGAAAAGACAAGAAAAAGGAATGTTCTTTCTCAGACTCGCTGAAAGCATTAGATGATTCAAAATTACCATCACACACGCAAATCAGCTGGACAGATCGCCAATCGACACACACAAACATTTGTTTTATTTGGCACGGGTAAATTATTCAAGCTCATTAAACTGGGATAGAACAGTTCGCATGCTTCATACATTTCATTAAATGTGATCTCTGGTGATTTAAAGTGAGTGTTCATCAAGTGTGCACCCTCCAAACAACTGTCCAGCATATGCTGCATGGGTGCAGAGTGACAAATGCTGCCTGTTGTCTCCTACATGTTGGAGAGTTGCTCTTTTGTGTGGATCTTTTTCTGCAGCATGTTGACAATAGACAGTGCAGGAAACATGGAGCTAAGACAACAGAGCCATTGAGACAGTCGTCAGCGAGACAAAGGAGTCATTGGCTTTACTGATTAACCATCACACAACTAAATATGAGATCACTGCGATGGCCCAGCCTACAGCAGTGACAAAAGTAGTAGGAGTTACACAATTCATTGCTTTACTCACATTAATATCCAGCCCTTAGATTTCAGTCAGCCTTTGTCTAAACACGCACATTTATTTTAAAGATGATATCAGAGAAGAGAGGTCTTTGTGGTCTTTTGTTCAGTCCGCCATCGTGCAGTATTTCTGTACCCTAAACACAAAACATACAATTGTGACTTGTACATTCCATCAGAAGCCACGAGTATAAAGAAAGTCTGTCAAGTTCTTCCAGACCAAACTCTCTCATCCATGCCTTTACGGGCTTTGCTTTGTGCACTGTTATGCACTCATTTTGGAACAGGAAGGGACCATCCCCAAACTGTTCCCACAAAGTTGGGAGCATGAAATTTCCAAAATGTCTTAGTATGCTGAAGTTTAACTCCTTTCACTCAAACTAAGAGGTCAAACAGCCCCACAACATAATCGCTCTCCACCAAACTTCACAGTTGGCACAATGCAGACAGACAAGTACCGTTGTCCTGACAACCGCCAAACCCACACTCCTCCATCAGACTGCCAGATGGAGACGTGTGATTCATCACTCCAAAGAACACTTCTTTGCATTGTGCTATTTGATGTAAGGCTTGGATGCAGCTGATTGGCCGTGGAAACCCATTCCATGAAGCTCTTACTGTTTATGAGCTAATCTGAAGGACACATGTTTGCAGGTCTGTAATGATTGACTCTGCAGAGAGCTGCGGACTGTGCACTATGTACCTCAGCATCCGCTGACCCTGATCTGTAGTCTTGCGTGGCCGACCACTTCATGACTGTTGATGTTCCAGTCAGTCCCACTTTGTCATAAGTTCACTGACAGTGTGGAATGTGGAATATTTAGTAGCAAGGAAATTGCTACTAAACTGGTCAGCCCAAACGTTAAAAATCTAAAGACATATGCAGGCTGGAAAAGTGTTGTCCAGGAGGGAGTGTTGAGCAGTTCAGAGCAGCTGATGTTTGAACAATTGCAGAATTGCACCCTGGTAAATGAGCCTTCCTACATCGGTCTTATGTTACACTGGACTGCTGTGTGAGTGGAACAATCATTCTCTATGTGTTGGATCAACATGTAACACACAGATGCAGCACACACAGTACGTGGGTGAACAGCTGTTGTCATCAGTCACGCGTGGATCCCGTGTTTGTGTGTGACAGTGTCATATTGTGTCACCTGAGAACGCTCAGAGAAAAATTCTGCGAAGAACTGAGGATGACGCTTAGTTCTTCATCCTTGTTTCAGAGCACAATACTGTGTGCTCAGCACAGAGAACTTTACAGGAAAACTCATGTACTGCAAACAGCAGCCTCATTCTGCTTTCTCTCCCTCTGTGTTTCTTTGTTAGATCCAGAGAGAAAGCCATGTGCTCTGTCCTGTACAGCCCAGTCTTGAACACAACGCAATAACACCACGTACAGGTAAGGCTTACAGACTGTCAATCCACTTATTTTCAAAGGAAGTAACCAGATCTTAACACCAGTTTACCTGCTACTAGTACAGCTGAGCAGAACCCTCAAGAACTCGTATTTAACGTGCTGTAAAATGTGATGGAGATGAAACACTTATAATAGTTCCACTGTAATAAGCACGGCTCAAGCTATTTCTGTTTAATTCCATAGTAACATTTGAATCAATCAAACATAAGGAAGAGTGATGATCGCCTGCAAACACTTGAATCAGGGCTACAAAATGCAAAACCATGTAATAACATGTGATTAGCATTTTTTAGGCTTGAAGGTGGTTTTAAATGCATTTTGTGTCGAATGGAGCGTGCAAACACTGATTTCACTGCATCTCTGATGAGGTTCTGTAATGAAAACTTTGCATTAAAATGGATTATTTTATTAATTAATGATAATTTGAGTAGAGTTATCAGTAGCAAAAACCAAAGATTGTTATTAATACATTAATTTGATTATTTAAATAGAATATTTGTATGAATGTAAACACTCACTGAGCCACATGGTACAATTCAGAACATAAACTTTAATTTATTATTGCAGTAAATCTAAAGCTTGAGCACTTAATGTTTGCTTATTTATTTAACCTTTAAACTTTATTAGATAAAGTGTGCTTTCACACACCACAGAGAAACAGGCAGGCTGTTTCTCTGTGGTTTGTGTGATATGAGATAAACTTCCTTTCTACCAGCGCTATAACATGCCACAGTCTCTAATGTGACAACTCATGTTGTCTTTCGCTCACTCAGCAGGAAGTGATTGACCGTCCTCCTCCTTCTTCTTCACAGATATTCACACAGACCGAGGAACGTGTGTATCGCTGTGTTTGGTGCAGGGAGAGTCGGTGGTGGAAGATGGCCTGAACGTCACTCCTGTGCTGGATGATGGTCTAATTCACAAGGTACAGACACACACACACGCACACACAGACACACACACACACACACACACACACACACACATAGACTTTCAGCTTTAATTCTAGGGTTTCACAGAAATACCACATTAACTGTTGAGGAATTACAGACATTTCTATGCATAGTCCAAAGTTTCAGAGGCTAATTAATCAAACATGAATTTAATTAAAAGAATGAATGAATTTGTAGTGACTGCTTGAAATTTAGCACCCAAGCACATCGCCAAATGCTGTGTTTCCTCCTTTAACATCCTCTGCCAGGACTGTAGAGCAGCTGCTGTTTGTGGGTCTTTATCTTTCACTTCTATCTTCTGTAACTTAAAAGCATGTTAAGTTGAAATCAGGGTACTGACTTGGCCATTGACGAATACGTCGCTTCTTTGCTTTGAGAGGCTTTGGAGGCTTTTGAGTGCAGACAATTGAGCTTTGAAGTGCATTGTTTATCCTGCTGGAAGCAGCCATCAGAAGACGGTACACTGAGGTCATACAGGGATGGACACGATCAGCTGCGATAGCTCGACTTATAGATCTCTCCCACACCCATACACCACCAGCCTCAGCCTGAGCCACTGACACTGGGCAGGAGTTTACATCAAAGTCTGACCCCGCCAGCTGAAGGAAATCCAAACTTATCAGACCACACAATGTGTTTGACATTAGTATGAAATAATGTTGCCGCGTGTTCATAATCAATGCTCTACTTACTCCCATAACCACACATGCGCACACACATACAAAATATCAGCAGTTTTGGTGCAGCAGAACTTCTCTGCTGTCACAGAGAAATATTTGGAGCTGGTCAGAGTGTGAGCAGTGACTCATTTTTTCTGGAAGAGGCCTTTTCCACCAGCTTTTCTCATAATCCTCCACAGACCACATTCAGCTCTTTCCCTGAGAACTTTTTCTCACAGGGCCCTTTCAAATCAATCCAATGCCCAGCTTCTAAAATATCCTATATTAAAAATCTACTACTGTGTGTGTGTGTGTGTGTGTGTGTGTCTCAGTGCCCTAGCTTTGTGTTTGTTTACATCTTTGTAAAATCCACCTCACATTTCTCCTCTTCTCTCCAGCCTGAGGCTCCTCAGACTGGTGTTGGGCACATGGACAGCCAGGCCTGTGGCGCCCACTCCTCCACTAATAATGCACTGATGCAAGAAGCTGTCAGTCCCGGCAAAGCAGCTTTGTCAGGGGACACATCTGGCGCTGTGTCCCCTCAGAGCTCCACACTGTCCTGGATGTCAGAAACGGAGGACAGAGGTAAAGCACACAGTGATACTTGAAACTGTTATTTCCTTGAAGAAGTTAATAATTACAAGCTCTTTGGCATGTTCTACTTCCTGTCTGTCTGCCTGTGAGCTGAAAGTAAATCTGTCTGTTGCTATGCACAGTAGATCAGGGCCGATTTCACTCAGGTCACAAACACAGTGAGCTTCTGGTGAAATCCAGCAAAACATCCCATATTCTCAGCATTTACCAGAGTTAGAACATTAGTCATTAGTATTTGTAGTAACTGTTCGAACGATGTGCTGGGTGTGTTGCATAAGTCCTGTTACGTTTTCATTCTTAACCGGTGAGTGGTTGTAATATTTTTTTCTGACATACATCTGAGGAGGAGGAGGAGAAAGAGGAGGAGAGGTAGAGGGAGGAGGCGATGAAGAAGAGAAAAAAGACCAGCTTCCAGAAACTCCAGTGTCATCAGCTGTCTTGCGCAAATCCAGTCGCTCCTTGTCTCCGTTGCGTCGCCATAGCTGGGAGCCGGGCAGGACCAACACAGCCACACACATGGAGCTCTCACAGAGCAGGTACTGGAACCTCGGGCTGTTCTGACACCGAGCCACTAAAGGACCATCTTCTAAGTAAAAGATATGACCCTCTGTATATTTGTTCTGTCTAAGGAGGTCTTTCCATAGATGTGAATGCTAAGATGCAGCTTTGTATCAAAGCTGCATGTTAGCATTGTGGAGACCTTCTTGATTGGACTAGAACAACATCTGTGGCTTTGGCATCAGTCAGTTGTGCTGTCTAATGCTCGGGTAGCCTTAAAATTGTGCTTTGTTGTGCAGCTTAAGCCTTGTATCGGGTCAGAATCTGTCTCATTTGGCTTTTAAAACTTTACTGATGGGTCTCCTTGTTCACACACATGGTGTCAACACGAGAACAGATGCTCCGCTCCCAACTTTATTGAAAATTCCTGCTGACGTCAAATTCCAGATTGGCTGATATTTTTCAAAACACTATTGCATTCAGAGTTATTTACATGAACTGCGTTTGCAAACAGTAAGTGCAAACACAGCAGCCGAGCATCTGCTCCGTGTCGAGCAGCAGGAGAAATTAAGGCCAGCTTCCACATCTTTGTTCACGAGTGTATCTTCCTCCTGTTGTCATTAACAGTCCGCCTGCCCCTTCCTTCAGCTCACTGAAGACCATTTCAGGAGAGGTGAAACAAGTCAAGACCCCTCTCCACAGAAGAAGGTAACCCTGTCTTCCATGACCTGCTTTATTCACGTCTGCCTGTTTCCTTGCAGGGCCACACACTTTATCTTTTTGTGCGTCTAGGCTAATAGTTCTGTGAGTCGTGTTTCACACATTCAGAAACAGCTGAGAAATGACTGATTTACTGATAAAAAGGACAACACGTATTCAAATGTGAGGCAATGACAAGAACCTTAAACTGAGTTGTTAGAGTGTGAGTGCAACACCGCTATTCCTCACAGCAGCCGAATCAGGCTTGCATTCCTGCCTTCTTACTAGAGTGCAGCCTCAGCCTGCTCACACGGCATACACAGACACTCCCTGGCCCAAGCATGGCATCCAGTGGAAAAGTCATCAGCGCAGTGAGAGCAGCAGGTCAGCAAAGTGTGCTGAGACTGAGGTGGAGATGGAAAGATTCTCTTAAACTCAGGCTGTAGTGCTGAGATGTATGATTATTACCTCTGTACAGTATTTTCTGCATTGAGTTGTGCAGTTCAGGCTGTGTTGCTGTGATGTGAGTCCAAGTGTTATGAATTAAAGCAATGTACCAGTTTTCAGACAAACTTAAATTAACAGCTTAGACACATCTTTCTCACCACAACACCATTATCATTAATTCTTGTTTTAATACACCCCTGCCATCAAACATCTTCTCTTTCTTTTCTTTGTTTTTCTTTGCATGTTTTTCACAATTCATCCCCCATCTGTCCATTTCTCCAGTATGAGCTGGTGTCCATCCAACCTGGTTTTTCCTGATCAGGAGCAAATAGACAGCAGAAGGTAAATGGCGGAAGTCAACAGCAATACACAGATATTGTTTCGTTTCAACAGCTCTTCGATAGAAGAGCGACTTAAAACCTCTGACAGTGATGTAAGACGAGCACAGAGAAAGATGACACAACAACATACCAATGCACATTATGAAATGAGGTCTGGTTAGACGTGTGGTTCAGCCTAGCAGGCCTGCTGTGTGCTTTGTGGCTGCGCCCTGCTTCTCTCTCTCTCTGCTCCAGGTGCCAGCCTCTTTTCTCTTGTGGAGCCGGTGCACAGCTTTTCCACCCAGACACTTTATTCTTATTCCACTCTCTGCCCAAGTCTTTTGGTGAAATATAACAATTTGGGGGTTCGTCCGGGATGTAAAAACAGTCAAACCCATCTATGGTTTACCTCACCTCTCGCCCTATGACAGCTGGTCACCAACGACACTCATGTATAAATCAGGGTTCTGCATGCATGCGTGGATGGATGGATAGAACCTGGACATGGTTGGGTCTGTATCTCTGTCAAGCTAGATTAAAAGAAAGTTGGCAGAAAGTCCTGAAAGGCTATAAAAGTATAAAAGTTGTAAAATAATAACTACTCAGCATAGCACACTTACTATGAGGAGACAGACACAGAGCAGAGCACTGGTTTTATACTACAGTATTGAGTGATAAGTGGAGGAGCCGTGCACTGACATCACCAGCAGAAAACAGTGTGCCACAGGAAACATGGTCCTACTTCATTTCTCCTTTCATCCAGCCACAGTCTAGAAAGTCTAGAAGTGGGCACAGCAGTGGTGCAGGACCAGACACAGCATGCCAGCATCAGTGATCAGGAGGTGGTGGCTGCAGGCAGGAGTTCACAGGTGGAGAGCCTGGACAGGGGGTCTCTGGCCTCCCTAACCGAGGAGGAGCAGGAAGGAGACAGCAGCAGCATTGATAGCCAGGTGTGTCCTCTTACTGTTTTTTTGCTTTGTTATTCGATGTGAGGACGGATTTATATACTTGTCATTTTCATTTCTTGTGTGTTGTTAGACATCATTGATTGTCAGCTATCCTGCCATGTTTCATCATCCAACTCTCACCAAATCCATCTCCATGGTCACCGTCACTCAGCGGGACGTACAGGGTGAGTCTGTGCTCAGTCCTCTGTCTCTGCCTCTCGTTTGTTCTGAGAAGTAAAGATTCTCGACGTTCTCCGCTAAGATTCTTTCATCCTGCTGCACCCATGAATACCTTTTAGCGAGTGGGTTTCCTCCATCAAAGCGACGAATCAGCTTCTCTGTCAGTATCTCTCCGCTCCTCCCAAAAACTAGACGCTTCTTTTCCATTGGCTCTTCCTCCAGTGATGAGGAGGAGGGAGGGAGTAAGTATGAAGAATGTCCCTGTAGTGTTCCCTCTGTCAGTCTGGTGTCCTGTAACACTGACCGTCAAAGCAGTTCAAATGTGTCGACCCATTGCTGGACCCCACGTGTGTGTTTTCAGAAGCCTAAACTAATAAACTAGTTTGTGTAAGTGTGACCAGTGTCTCCCTTTCAGTGTGCCGTGTTCAATGTGACCTAAACCTCTGACCTGCTTTTCAAATACATTAGTGCATTAACATTACTTTCAGGTGGTTCTTTTACTAAAACAGTGTTATTGTCGTAATATTACCCATGACAAAGTATTAAGGGAATGATTGATTGTTTGAGCAGCCATGCCGAAGGCTGCTGCAGGTGAGACACTTACACAGAGCACATAGGATGCAGTCTGTAAACACGAAGCCGCCCACAGAAAAGGTAAGGCAGGCTATCAAGGAACTGCTGACATCTGAAAAACAGTATGTAGCTGTGTACGTTTATTTTTCTTACGGTAGTCTTGCCAGTGATACAGAGCACGGCACTAGTACTGACTCAGCACATCTGCCAATGTCTTTGGTTAACTTTGTGTTTAGTCGTTTTATTAGGGTTAGAAGTGCAATGGAGTTCATCAGTCATCACTTTTGTTGTCATGTCAACCAATTACTAAAAGCAGGCTTTGCTTTGTAACTGTGGCTTTGAAGACATTACTGTGCAGTTCAGACTACAGCTGTGTTGTCCTGATCAAATGATGATTGTCGTCTTTGCCTCATGCAGGTGTGAACTCATTCTGCAGTCACTCTGGGTCACTGGCATCCAGGTAGGAAGAGAAGCTAATAAATCTTTTTTTCTCTGCTTCACTTTTAAAGCACATCATACTGAAGAGATGCAGCACAGGCTGCATGTAACTGAGTGCATGGCACGCTGATCCTGTTGGGTTTTTCATTAGAGTTTGTTATTCTGTTTCTTCAGGCCCATGATTGTAATGTTAATGGGTTTCATTTATTTGAGAGAATAGGAAAACATTTGCTGATATAAATAGAAATAAGCATAGTGCCTTTGAAAGTTCCCTTTGTGTTGTTCAGTATTTCAGAGGATGAGCCAGGTCCCCTGCAGAGCGAAACTGAGGGAAAAGGAGGGCCTAAAATTGGTCGGAGATTCAGCTACCTCCGCAACAAGATGAGCAAGAAAGTCAAGGTGAGAAATGTTTACACACAGGATGTGATGCAGCCACTTCTTCTTTTCTAACACTGTGACGTATGTTTGGAGATGACTGTAGAGCGTAACGCTGATGTGTCCATGTGTGTGCCCTGGCTGATAAAGACCAGCGTACTTCAGTTATATTCTTTATTTTTGCAAATGTATTGAAATGATGAATTTTTCCATGCTTTGTCAGGTGCATGAAGTATTCAGCACAGGTGAACATTTGACTGTGTTCACTGTGTTTTTGGGTGATGAAGCATTTAAAACACAGCATGCCAAACTTTGGTGGCTGTAGCTCAGGATGTTAAGCAGGTTATCTGCTAATCGCACGGTTGGTGGTTCGAGCCCTGGCTCCTCCAGTCGGCAGGATGAAGTGTCCTTGGGCAGGATACTTACCCCATGTTGTTCTCTGGTCCAAATGTGATTAATCGGAAAAAGTGAATGGGTGATATATAAAGTAGAACAGAGTTATAAAAGCAGCAGTTCATTGTAACTGCTCGCAGTTGTAGCTGTCAGACTGTTTGTTTGCGGGCAGTTCAGCATAGCGCTGCAGACTGTCTGCATGTTGTATCTGTCAAAGGGGGAAGTGTCAAAATTCTGTGGGTTGCTACAGAGAACACAGATGTCATAAAAGACAACTAGTTTGTAATGAAGTGAAACCAGCTGTCTGTTCTTCATGCATTCATGCAGGCCTTTTGATAGTTTCTTTTTTTAAGTCACAAAGAGCTCCATTGTGGCTCTCTTTCTTCTTTAAGTGAACTTTTCCGTCATGATTCCACCTGTACAGAGTCTTCACTGTCACTCTGCATGCTGGACTGCACACAGCCATGTGTGTGTAAGTTGTGTACTCTGTGACTAGGGATGCATACAAACTGACCCAAATATACCTGCAATATTTGATGTTCTGTTTGTGAGTGGACTGGATTTTTTCTCATGGTTAGCAAAAATACACCAGATACTAATATAGTGCTTTGGACACCCGGACTATATGATGACTATATGATCTGATGATCAGATGATCTGTGGCTTGTAAGCCTGGCTGGGTCATACAAGCACAGTCAGGCTGACCCCACTGCAGCTACCTGTGGGCTACTGCGGTGAAGTCAGTGTGACGATAGTTTGTGGTTCACTGCAGAGCTTTGCAGTTACAGGTCTGCACATCAAAGCCAAAGTGCGTGGGATGCTGTGTAAAATGGAAATAAATTTGCAGTGCAATGACTTACAAATCTTACAAATCTCTTAAAGTCATGTTTTATTCACAATAGAAGACAGAAACCATATCAAGTGTTTAAACTGAGATATTTTTATTATTCCATGAAAGAATCGAATAGTAAAATGTTTTTGATGTGCTGTGTTTGCCTTTTATCACAGGATGATACAGGTTATATGCCAAATATCAGTGTGGACACAGTGGCATTTGTTGGCATTTGTTAGAGGTAATTAGTCTGAGTTCAGACGAGTTTAATGTGAACTGGTGCATTTCTCGTACGCAGCAGACCCCCTACCCAAAAAAACAAAGAGGGAACTGAATTTAAATAAAGTTGAAGTGAAACCAAATATTCAAATAAATGAATAACTGCACTAAAACTGCGACGTAACAATACAAAACCCTGCTGAAACTGTCAAAGGAAATCTAAAGCCAAAAACAGGAACGAAGTGTGACATCATACATCTCAGAAAAAGATTTATTTTTATCTAATGCCATCATATACGTTATGGTAAAATAGTGGCTTCATCAAGACGGACAGAACTCTGCAAAACAACCAGACAGACAACAAAAGAGGAACTGTGTGTGTGTGTGTGTGTGTGTGTGTATGTGTGTGTGTGTGTGTGTGTGTGTGGTGGCATGCAGAAATGAACAGTGCACTATCTCAATTCAAAGGAATGAGAAATGTCAGGTTTTAAAGTGTGTTGGTGTCTTTGCTGTTTTCAGGACAAGGAGAGGAGGGGGGAGGGTAAGCAAGAGAGCAAAGCACGAGAAAAGGCCCCCCTGTGCCCCCACAGCTCCACGCTGTGTCAGCACAGCGGCAGACTCCTGTGCAATAAGGAAACGTTCTTCTGCAACAGTAAGACCCTCGTAGCGCTGTCTTTCTGACACGTGCCAGCTCTCTTACTCTCCTGCTGCATTTCTGCTCTTTCCTTCCTGCTTTTTATTTCACCTCCAGTTTGGGATCACCACTTCCTCTTCTCCGTACTTCGTTATCTCCATGCGTTTTCACACCTTTGATAACACCATCATACTGCTCTGTGTAATAATGCTGTAGTTGTTTACATAGAAGTGGTTAGTCGTGATTAGTAGTGGTTAATAGTCTGGGCAGTCATCAGACAGCAACAGGGTTCTGTGTGGCTTGTGCTTGGTCCTCCTCTGGCTGCATGGTTTTTCACCCACAGTCCACACAGCTGCTGGGCTTGCTGTGGTAGCCCAGAACCAGCAGACCTCTTTAGTACCCCAGCCTTTACAGACAGAGCTGACTGGACACTGATGTATTTGTGGAGTTGCAGACTCATACTTACTTAGGGTAAGATGAGGGAAGGTGTTGCAGGTACAAAGAAGCTGGAAAACTGAGCAAAAGAAAAGGTTAAAGCTGAGTGGGACTGTCCGGAGGAGGCAGCCAAACCTGGGGACAGAACCTGCCAGTTTCTCTGGCGGATGATTTGATGCTTGTTTCTTTATGGGTTTAGTTTTTCAATCATTAGCCATAAAAGGCTGATGGAGTACTGTTGTAAGTGTGCGGACGGCATGGATGCACAAGTGTGTGAATGTGATGACTTCAAAACGAGGCGAGGTATGAGTTTGACATTGATACCATAGGTGTATCTGCCTGGAGGCTGAGGGTTAGCACTGAGCAGTGCTGGTATTTCTTCTTCCTGTGAGCCGGACTGAAGCCATGGCAGCAGTCACTGCCTTCTGGATTCTTTGCCTGTGCACGCAGAAGAGAAGAGTGTCAAAGGATGTTGTAGTGTTAAAGAGACGGAAATATCAAGGCTATAGCTGAATAGTCCAAAACGTCCTGTTCCATTTCACGGTGACCTCGATGGAGAAGGTCATGAGGTCAAGGAAGGAGCGTTAAGGAGAATTTCCGAGGACCAATGAAGGGAAGCACGGCGCTTAGAGGCTGCCTAACAGAGTGATGCTGATGATGAGGCTCCTCCTTAGTGAACCCACCACATCCTGATGATGGAGTACATCCAGCTATGAAGTGAAATATAGCACGTATGTCAGAAACGCTGCGGGCCTGCTGCAGAGATGAGCCACTGTAGCTCCTGCCATTATGGCAGCTGTAAGAATAAAGCATTGCATAAATGTATGTGACCTATGAGTGGTCATTAAGACTATTAAAGTATGTGAGATGAATGTGGCACCCTGTGTGTGTGTGTGGTTGGGGGTGAATACACTAACATAGCTGTTTCTGTGCTGCCTGCAGACTGTGGGGTCCTCGTCAGTGACAGATCCACGGAGAGCCCGTCTGTCTGTGCAAAGAACAGAATAAAGGTAGGTATGGTACACAGACTCATGATGAATGTGTTACCATCAGGAATAACTGTAGATGAGCAGCAAAATCACATGTTCAAATTTAGAGGTGAGGTATAACTAAGGTATAAGTCTTCTTTAAGTTTAATCTGTCATGTTTGTCTCTATCAGCAAGCAGCGGTGCCAGAAGGCGTTCCTGGGTCGTCTGTTAACACGAGGAGTAAAAGTAAGAACACATGGAGAACTTTACAGAGGAGACAGAGGAGAGCGAATCAACTAAAGCTAAAGACAGACACTTTCAAAGAATCCTTTATATCAATCCATCTAAAAATCCCCAGTTTCCCTCAGATTTGACTGGTAATTTTATCTGTATATGTCCTAGTGACCATTAAAATAAAGCTGTGGGTCTCAAATCATTCATTTAGATATAGGTGCTTTAAAATAACTGCAAAGCTGTGTTACTAAGAAAGCTGCTGAGTTTGAATCTATTCCACCACTCCCATGATCAGCAGAAGCCCATTAGCAAAAGAAGAGAGCTTTCCACGTTGTGTAGGTGCCGCACAAACGCACACTGTCCGCACTGCAAAGTGCAACGCAATGTTAATGTACACATGTACTTTAAGACAAATTCCTGTCTTCAATCAGTGCTGTTCCTCTGTCAGGATAGAAAAAAGTGTGACAGACACAGAACAAGCTTATGATTGTATCTGAGTGCAGCATGTTTGACTTTTTACTCAGTTTGTAAAAGAGCAAGTCAAATAAGGACACTGGGAGGTAGCAATGCAGCCTTTCTGAAGGAGCTTTAGTTCGATGAAGCATGCTTGCAACTCAGACCTGAGCAGACGGAGCACACGCAGAGAGAGGGAGCTGCTTTTGATTGGTAGACAGAGCTTCTGATGTCCCAGCAGTTCCACTGATAGACACCTTCTTGCTCATAGTATGAAGAGTGACTACAAAAGAACTAGATTGCTGCTTTTTAATGAGCAAATAATCAAATTCATTTTCTGTTTTGATATATTTTTATCTAGCTACATCTTCTACATCATCGCTGTCGTCAAGGTCCTCATCGTCACGTTGGTCAACAGTAACAATGCCCGACGACCACCTTCCTATGCTGTCTCCGAGAAGAAACCGCAGAACCTTCAGCCCTCACAGCAACCTGGCTAAGAGCATCTCCAGTAGCAACATACCATCGTGAGACGTTACGACTAATTAACTTTGTTTCTGAAAATTCCCAGTTCGCTCTAAACGTCATGTGTGCACACCAGCACAAGTGACTGTCTCAGCACTGAGCACACATGCCGTCACTCGATGTGCTCTTCACAGACGTGAAGACGGGTTTTTCTATTCTTGTCACTAGAACTAGTGGCAGCTCTAAAGGCGTCATATTGTTCTTGGACTATGTGATGTATGTAGAAAGCAAAGCCATTAAAATCCTGCTCATCTTCATAATTTTGTTCCTTCAGGTTAGACGATGCTGCACTCAAGCGCCTCAAAGTGCTGTCCCAGTCCACCGACTCTCTCCATCAGGGGAGCAAAGTCAACGCTTCAACTGAGTCTCTCACTGATGAAGGTAGAACACAACACACACACACACACAGAGTTTAGATTCAAAGAATGATAGTTTGAGCTGCTGTGTGTGTGTGTGTGTAGGTACTGAGATCACTGACACCCAGCTGATGGAGTTTGAAAATGACATTAAAGATCTGGAAGCTGATTCTTGGAGCGGCATGGTGGATAAGAAGTTCTTGAAGTCCCTGAAGAAAGATGAAGTGAAGAGACAAGATGTCATTTATGGTAAACTGTGCTGTGACTCAGTTGGGAGTGACAGACTGCTGTCGGGGCCAAACATGGAGATAAGAGTGTTTTCTCTGCACAGAGCTGTACCAGACAGAGGTTCACCATGTGAGGACTCTGAAGATTATGTCGGAAGTGTATCACAAAGGCCTTCAGAAGGAGCTGCAGCTTGATCTTCAAACTCTGAACAAGGTGATCAAAGAGCAATTTCACCCGTGGACACGCTTGGGTACACACAGTATAACGACCTGTCTGTCCAACATTTCCCTAGATTTTCCCTGTTTTGGACGATCTCTTGGAGTTACACACAGAATTCCTCTCATTGCTCCTGGAGAGAAAAAGAAATGCATCAACTGAGAGACAGAAGAGCAACAACTTCCTCATCTGCAGCATTGGAGACATCTTAGTTAAACAGGTGAGACGTGGAAGGTGTATGCGTGCGTGACAGTGGTAAATAAAGTTGAAATAAATCCATTTCTGGTGGCCCTTACACTCCTCGTGTGTGGAGTGCGTGCTGTTGTCTTTTAGTTAAGTTCAACTCTAAGATATCTGTTTGGAAATCAGGGGTGTCGTTTGGTAGTGTCAATGGTTGCAGTAAGGATCATGGCAGTCTTTTCATTAAGTTGTAGTTCTTTTGAGTTAATGGAAGAACTACAATATTCACAGCATGTTATGGAAAGCGCTGAATTTGCTTCCACCTTAAATGTGTTTACTTTCTTTTTTGTGACTTCTTAAATTCAGTTTTCAGGCTGCAGCTCTGTCCGCATGACGAAAGTTTATGGGAAGTTTTGCAGTCGCCACAACGAAGCCGTCAGTCTGTACAAAGAACTGCACGCCAAAGATAAACGCTTCCAGGCTTTCGTCAAGGTCAGAGCTGCTCTCTGTACACGCAGCACATCAGAGGACCTCACCTGCACTGTCTGGGATCTATGCATGACCTCAGTATCTTTGTGTGCAGAGAACAATGAGCAGCAGTGTTGTGCGGCGGCTCAGCATCCCAGAGTGCATTTTGTTGGTGACTCAGAGGATCACCAAATATCCTGTTCTGATCCAGAGGATCCTTCAGCACACCAAAGGTAAGAATGAAGACCCGTGGCAGCATCCACGGAGTCAAGCGCATCTTTCATCGTTCTTCAAACGTCACCTAAAAACTGTGCAGTGACACTGTGTCCATCATCTTTCCTGAGAACATAATTCATCCTAAACTCTTTATGAATCTCTGAACAGAGTCAGATAAGGAGCACGGCTTGGTTTCTGACGCGCTGCGCCTTGTGAAGGAGCTGATTACGGCTGTGGATAATAAAGTCAACCAGCAGGAGAAGAAACAGCGCCTGAAGGAGGTGTACAGGTACTCAGTAGTGTCAGTGATGGAGTTTGCCTACTCCTGGATCAGCTGATCACGTAGGTCATCAGAGCAGTTCATTCCTCCAAACAGTCCCCTCCCTGCCCACTCTTAGCTCAGAGCACTCCACAGATGCTGACATATACGTTACACAATGTCAACTTATGAACGGTGAATGATGAATAAGCTTAAAGGCTGGCTGATACCTGGGCTGTACCTTCCACATATATACCACTTTTCTAGTCTTGCTGCCTGCTCAGAGCAGTGCTGATGTTCAGCCTGTGTTTTACTCTCCGCATGTAGTTTTAGATTTTTTCTGTAAGCTTAGCTTGCAGAAACAGCAGTGCTCTTAAATGTGCCTGAGTGTAAACCTTTAATGTCTCACTGCAGTCGCACTGACAGTAAGTCCATCATGAGGATGAAGAGTGGTCAGATGTTCGCTAAAGAGGACCTGATCAGAGGGAGGAAGCTGCTGCACGATGGAGCGCTGCAGCTGAAAAACTCTGCAGGAAGACTCAAAGGTTCATCACATTTGCATCTTTGGACCAAACCTGACGTGAATTTATTTAGACTGGAGCTCGCTGTAATCTTTGTTTCTGTGTGTTGCAGAAGTCCATGCCATGCTCCTGACAGATGTGCTGGTCTTTCTTCAGGAAAAAGACCAGAAATATGTATTTGCCTCATTGGTAAGTTTGGCACTCGGCACATACATAAGATCGTACCCAAGGATTCGGTTTGATTTGGAGCCTTTGTTCCCAGGACCAGCGCTCCACGGTCATCTCCTTACACAAACTCATTGTTAGAGAAGTGGCAAATGAGGAGCGAGGTCAGTCTCCTTCCTTCTCT